CTTATTAATTTTGTTACATAAAATCTTATATATATCCATAAGAAAAATAGACACAACTAATAGACAAAAAATAGCCAGAGAATGCAAATAGATGGTTCTCAAAATAAGCTAAAATGACAATTAACATGATAAAACATTAAGCAACAATGAAATAATATTTGCCTATCAGATTGGTAATGATTGCAAGGCATAAATTCAGTGAGGAGAATAAATTCAGGCTTGATGGTTTCCACAGTTTTTTCTATAACAACGATGGCATCCTTCCTTAACTTTCATGATGTAATCCTTCCTTACTTTCATCGTGCGTTAACAACCCTTTCCACAGAGTACCATGTGTAATGAGCCTTAAAGGTCCTTATGACCCCCTAATCTAGAGGCTGAATTAGAGACATTGTGTTTGGGGGCAAGTAGACCATTTTAACACTTTTGGTGTTGAAATCACGGGGTTCTGGGTGGCCAGAGGCATTGTCCAATATCAAAAGAACTTTAAAAGGCAATCCCCAAAGGCAAGATCCTTCCTGACTTCAGGGACAAACTATTGAGGGGACCAATCCAGAAAAAGTGTTCTTGTTGTCCAGGCTGTCTTGTTGTACAACCAAAAACCTGGCAGCTGGTGTTTATCTTTTCCCTTCAAGGCTAAGGGATTAGCAGCTTTATAGATAAGAGCAGTCCTGATCATAAACCTGACCGTATTTGCATAAAACAGTACAGGTGACTTTCCCTTCTTGCCTTCAACCTGGTGCTCACTTCTCTTTCTTTCTAATAAATGTCTTTTGTGGCATTTTATTCCAGAATAGGGCACTTCTATCTGCATTAAAAACCGGTTTAGGCAGATATCCTTTCTCCTCGATGATTTCTTAATGGTGTCTGGGAACTCATATGCTGCCTCTTGATTGGCAGAAGTTGCTTCTCCTGTTAGCTTGACATTAGTAGCCAAACTTCTTTTTTAAAATTATCAAACCATCCTTCACTGGCATTAAATTCTCTAGCATCACACGCTTCACCTTCCTTTTGCTTTAAGTTGTCATATAATAACTTCACTTTTTTTTCAAATATTAGAGTCTATAATTATGCCTTTTTTATAGCAATCCAGAACCCACATAAAAGCTGCATTTTCAGTATGAGATAAAAAGGGAGTTTGCAAAAAGTTCAAGGTTTCTGCACCTGCTGGCAGAACTGTAGCAACAGCTTCATGACTTGTCCTTTTATTTTTATTTATTTATTTATTTTTTTTGACAACGGTCCTTACACTAGATTCATTTGTCTTGAAACAGCAGGCATCTGCAGCTGCAGATCTCAATCTATGGTACATATCAAGCAATACACCTTTTTCTTGTAATGTCGTGACTTTTCTCTGCTTCTTGGGAGCACTCCCAGCATCACTAGTGACACTTTGTATGGGTCCCATTCAAGGCTTACAGTATTGCACTAAACATGATGAAAACTATGTGAGATCCAGGAGAGATCACTTATTACTGTGATTCCCAGTTTACTGGAGAGACATATTATTCATACAGAGAGGATCAGTATCATACAGTGTGTATTTAAAAAAATTTATTTGAGAGACAGAGAGAGAGAGAAGCAGAGGGGGAGAGGGAGAGAATCTTAAGCAGGCTCCATGCTTAGTCCTGATGCAGGGCTCTATCCCACAACCCTGGGATTATGACCTGAGCTGAAATCAAGGGTTGGATGCGCAACTGACTGAGCCACACAGGTGCCTCTCACACAGTGTTTTAAGTGGATACTGGCAACACTTGAGCTCACCACAATAACAGGAAGGGGCTATGAAATTATCACAATAGTACAGTATGTACTACAGTTAATTTCATGCAGTTATGACTTAGTATTGTATCTTTACACTTGTTTACATTTCTCTCAACTGTGAATCGTGCCTTGTATGGTCTATAAATGTTTGTGTGGGTAAGTTTTGATAAGTTTTAACTTTTTATAATAGATTTGCTATATTTTATGATAGCAAATGATAAAATAGATTAGTATCTACATATATTGTACACATTCATGACACACCTAATTTTATTTTTTTGATATTTCTAGATCATGTGGTTCATCTGTGAGTTTTTCATATTGTTGCAAATCTCCAAAAGTTTTTCCTAGATTCTTATGAGAAAAAAATCCATGTATAAGTAGACCCACATAGCTCAAACCTATGTTGTTCAAGGGTCAACTTTATTACCAAGGATTTTCTCCATTTTCTGTAAGTAGTATCTACAATTTACTTACGTAACATTTAAGGCCTTTCTACGATTCTTCATCAAACTACATGCTTTCATTCCTGATTCAACAGATTCTTAGGTTCACTTTTCTTTTTTGAAAGCACACGTTGCTAATGATATTGACAATGTGGAAAGGCAGAAACACTAGGGAAAAAATGGACAGCTTGATTTATGTTGTTAACTCTACATGGGCTGTAAGAAATGTTAAAATATTTTGCTATTTTATATAAAATCAATTTTTATGATAATCATATCCCCTCTCAATTTTTTGTAGATAACTGTATCTTATTTGTATTCAATCCACAACAAATAACTCTAGGCCTCAAAATTTTGCAGATACTATGGATGCATATATTTGATTTTGTTCTGTCACGATGCCACCAAGGTCTTGGTTAGATGGTTGTCACTCTAGGTGAATGAACATGCAGGTCTCCTTCCCTTTGCGAATTGAGTATGTACTGGACTATTAGTCTCTATACTGGGTAATGGAGCTCCAGAGTGGGTAAGTTCTAGGGTACTTTTCATGCTGTATGATTAGACAGATCATAAATGCAAATAAACATACTACTCTTCTCGGTACTGTGAAGGAAGTGTAAGTGCCACTCCTGACTTTTTGTCATCACTTGTCTAGGATTTTCTTGTATGTGACAGGCGCCCCCTAGTGAATAGAGGGGCTTAAATTGGCCTCTACTACAGAGAGGCTAGAAAAATACTTGAAGCTGTTATAACAAGTTCACACTGCATTAAACAACTAAGATGCTGAATGAAGTTTTGTGTGTGTGAATGTGGGTGAGGATGGGGATCTGTTCTCCATAAAAAGTATCCAGGATTTCACTATATAGAAGTAGTAATCAATTTTCTAGGTGAAGGTCAAACTAATCTGAACTTCACTAGATCATCAAAGTACATAGAGTAGATCACTGATCTTTATCTACTCTTCAGGTATTACAGTTTGACTGTGTGTATATAGATATCTACTAAATTCTGTATGATACACATAACTTTGGGGTTGAGACTTGAGAAACCATAATTTCAATCCAAAAACTTTAACCTGGTAAATATATTTGATACATTACATTTTATTTGGTTAATTTCAAGAATACAGCATTAAAGAAGACTGTGGTTGCTTGATATAATAAATTAATTACATTTAATTACCTCTTCTCTCCCTAAATCTCCTGCCACTTATAATAGTCTTTATGTTCTGAAATAAGTATGTTATAATGTTGACATCATCATAAATATTCATTAGTTATTATTTATAGCACTGGGTTAGGTCCTCAACGAGGAACTAAAAATAATTCTTATCCTCTAGGATGTTGCCAAGATAAAATAAAGTCAAAGAACATATAACCAAATCAACTGGAAAACAAACAAATTATCCAAATATGCTAAAAAACTGCATTCCTATTATTTTAACAGTGCCAAAGAGCAGAAGCAATCACACTCTTGGCTCAGTGGTTTAAATGGAGCATCCTAAACCAACAACTGGAGAAAAGGTTAAACAAAAAGTAGGTGACATGTTTAAGTAACAAGTAGGTGAGAAGTTTATTCTCAAAGGTCTTGTTGACATCAGAAACTATCAAATTAAGAACTGTATGTAGATTATACTTGCTACTTTCCAGGGGTATATTATACTGTTGGCTCCCACCTTACCATCTAAACAATTTTTAAAATAAAAAATTAATATTTTCTTCTTTCCCCTAGATTGTCCTTTGTCTCCCGAGCAATTATCCTTTTACATTCACCTCAACTTCTTCAGGTCCAAGAGGACTTCTCTAACAGTAAGGGCTCTCTCCGTCCTCCCTCTTGTCTGAAGCCATAATGACCTTATTTAAGACAATTATATTGCTTTGATTATTCCAGGTATAATAAAAGAGTCTACAAAACACACGCAAGCATTCATTCAAATTATTTGCAAATTGGTTAGTGAGTAGACCCCAAAGTCCAATCACAGTGTAGCTTGGAAGACAAATATCACTTCACTAACTTAGAGGGATAACTTGTGCATTTCTCTTGTCAGGACAGGCATGTGCTAGTAGGGGTGAAAACACCGAACCTAAAGGAAATAGAAGTGAATGACAGGTAAGGACCAAAGCACCTCGCCTACCTCATCCTTGCTCACAAAACGCCCATTCTTCCCTGTCTTGTTTTCTAAGATGTATCGGGGAGGAAGCGAGGTCACCCGTGGGAAGGCGGCGTACTCTCCTGCTGACGACCGAGACTGAGAAGGAGCCTTAGGGAGACTCGCGGGGTGGGCGGTGGGAAGACAGACAGCTCAGAAGGGCCCAGGTGTCTTGCTCCCGCACGGCGAGAGGTGCGGGGCGGCGCGCGCCTGCGCGGACCTGGCTCTCGCCACCCCACGACCGCAGCATCCCTGCGCAAGAGTCCCAGCGGCGCGGGCGGGAGGAGGGGCGGAGGCCCCTCCGCCCCGCGCGCGCGGCCACGTGACTCGGGCCGAGGGGATTGGAGCGGCGGCGGCGCGAGGCGGCAGACTGGTGCAGCGCCTGGAGCTCACGGCGGGATCTCCTCCTCTTTCTCCTGGGAGCCTGGACGGTACCTTCTCCTCCGCCCGGCTAGTCGGCGCAGCCGCCGCATCCCTACCTCCGCGGCGCCCCGAGGAGGAGGAGAAGACGCAGCTGGGCCGCCGCCGTTAGAGGGGTCCCCGGCTGCCTCTCACTCCGTCGGCGTCGCCTTCGGGGTCAACCCGCCCGCGGTGTCTCCGCTTTCTCCTCCCGCTGCCGCCGGCGCCCGCTTACAGCCGCGATGGGGCTCTTGGACTCGGAGCCGGGCAGTGTCCTCAACGTGGTGTCCACGGCGTTGAACGACACCGTGGAGTTCTACCGCTGGACCTGGTCCATCACAGGTAAAGCGGCTGGCTGCCCCGTCTTCGTCCGGCCCTGCAGTCCCTCGCTCCCTGCGGCTTTTGGGATGCTGCGGATCAGAGGAGATGCGGGGCGCGGGGACCGCGGTCTGGCACTGGTTAATCTGATCCGAACGTTAAGGCCTCCCCCTCCCCCCGCGACGCTCGCAGGGTTTTCCTCTGAGCTTCCATCTCTCGTCAGCTTCTCGGATGCTGGGGCTGACATATCAGATGGAGCCTGGGCTGCTAAGAGCTCGTCGCAGGAACCACTCCACCCTGTACTCCCACATCTCCCAGTCTCGTCTGACAGTTTTAACTTATGCACAGGATTGGTTTTAACATTTACTAATAATAGTCCTTTTGTAGAGATGGCTGGGGGAAGGAGGAGGGCTTCAGTGGTAGCTGTCTTTTTTTGCGTCTCTTCGGCCTCCTGGTTGCATTGACACAATCTGCTAAACCTGCTAATGTTTAGTCTAACTCATCCATCTATACTATAATTTGGAACAAAAAGTAAAAAGCCATTGTTTGTTCTCTTGAACCTTGCAGGATGTTAGTTTCTGAGGCTTTTTCAGCAGCAAATATGTTTGAAGTGATTGTCTATAATGGCTTTGCGCAGTGCAGTGCAGTCAGGGGGTGGGGAGGCTAAAATACCCGGAAAGAAATAAGTCTTTAGAAAGGGGGTCTCTCTACAGCAGCACCTAGAGGTCGTCCCAGCAGCCTGCATGTATACAATTTTCTTAAATTAGCAAACTTTTTCCCCTTAGCGGTTGTAGTTTGACAGGGATCGTCTATTGGTGGATTTATGCAGCTCTTCTAGTGGGAGCAGTTGGGCTATTATGTTATTTTTACATTTTGCCATTGATTTTCTTAATTTGCTTCAGTTGCTTTTGGTTTTATTTATTTTTTTTTTAATTTGTTTTTCAACGTTTATTTATTTTTGGGACAGAGAGACACAGAGCATGAACGGGGAAGGGGCAGAGAGAGAGGGAGACACAGAATCGGAAACAGGCTCCAGGCTCTGAGCCATCAGCCCAGAGCCTGACACGGGGCTCAAACTCCCGGACCGCGAGATCGTGACCTGGCTGAAGTCGGACGCCCAACCGACTGCGCCACCCAGGCGCCCCTGCTTTTTGTTTTAAAGCACTTAAAAATTTTTGAAATTACAAAAAAATTAGCCTAACGGGATTTTAGAAATGATCTTATGATTTATAATTTTCTAGTCCTTTTGCAGTGTGGCACTGCATCTCCAGCAGTGGAGGAGAGTAACCTTACACATTATGACTCTGCCTCCTTTCCCTAGAAATGAAAATATATTCCTGTAGTTTTGTATTTGTTGTCAGAGTAAATGGAATCGTGGTTACAGCATGATTACAGTACAATATGTGGGATACATTTTGTAGAGAAAAATGTGTACTGGAATTATTTCTGTGAGACACAATGATTCTTCGACATTGTTGTGGCTTTAACTTCTTCAGCTAGGAATCTCATGTTTGGCACTGGTAAATAAGCTGTTTTAATTAGCCCTTGCAGTTGGAAATGGTTAAAAGGCAGTTTTTAATGGAGTCTTTCTTTAAATCTTCTATGTGCTGTTACACTGAGGTTACCCTGTACCTACGAGAGCTGGGAAAGATGTACCCTTCCCTTCATCTCTGATTTTGGTTATTTAAGCATTGCATCAGGGTTTCCCATTACACAATTGTGCAGAGCTGAACATCAGCTTTGGCAGATAATTGTACTTTGCATACTTTAGAGTACAGACATCGTCAAGGTCCTCCAATCTCAATTCAGCCAGAGCCACACCCAGAAGTTCTCATTCCTGTCTATTATTCCCTTCCTATCTCAGAGCTTTCTTACTTCTCGAGTCTCAGAAACAAAAACTGAGTGCAAAGGTAGAATACATTTTTCTGTGTTGGTTAATTCCTTCCTAATGATGCTGCTGTCAAAAAATATGAAAAAGATAGGAAATTTTGTGCAGTTGCCTCATGTGAAAACTTGCTACTAGCCTGTGAAGGGCATATAAGATAATATTGTAGACCAAGTCTGAGAAGTGAGAGTAGCCACTGGAACACAAGTGACCTCTCACTAGCAAGTTAGAGGGAAGGTATTCACCCATGCCCCGGCTATCCACTTACGAAACCTGAGACTGCTTCCTTGCTTTCTGTAATGAGCTACCTGCTGTAGGTAGATGGTATTTCTTAAACCAACTTAGAGGCTTAGTGGGATATAGTTTGTTCTGCCTTTCTACTGTGAGGAGAAATATTTTTGTAGATGCAGGCAGGACAGACCTGAACCCCATGGTGTCCCATTTCCTTTCACCCCCTATCCTATGCTCTCCATGCTACCTTTCTTTCACAACTTCACACTGCTCTCCACAAGGATCTCCTCTTGCTATAATTTAATGAAAATCTGAGTGAAGGAGTTTCAAAGTAGAAGAGTAGCTTATTAGATGAAGCTGAATAAAAGTTGATGAGTCAGATGTTTGGAAAGAGGGAGAAATAAAAATGGGTGGAGAGAAAAGATGGTCTTGAGAAATAGAGGTGAGTGATGAAAGGACACAGATTATTCAGAGAGCAAGATATGAACTAGGCTCTGTGCCCTTGAGTGCTTTCATTCCCAGACTGTAGTTACATGCTTCTATCTCCATTTTATTAGTCCATTAAATATTTCTCTCCACTGAAGTTTCTACCTAAGTGTAAATGAGTGTATCTGCTTTGGACTGTCATAACAAGAATAGTTACAGATTTGTAGAGTATATTTGGTGATGCAAGAGATCTTTGCCCTAGGGCAAACAGTTTCTGGAAAAATATCATTTTGTGCTCTTATATCAAATGGTACTATTTAATAAAACATACGGTGATGCTCAAAGCAATGTATAAAAACTGGGCTTTTCAAAGGCACATGTCTAGCAAATACAGAATATGACCCATAGAGTATTAACACAGATAATGTTACTTTTACTATAATTGTTAGCACTGAAGATTTTTTTAAATATTTGTTTATTTTTGAGAGAGACAGAGACAGAATGTGAGTGGGTTAGGGACAGAGAGAGAGGGAGCCCGATGCGGGGCTCAAACTCATGAGCTGTGAAATCATGACCTAAGCTGAAGTCTGATGCTCAACCAACTGAGCCACCCAGGAGCCCCAGCTGTTAACACTTTATATGTTAGTATTGAAACTTTGAAAAAGCTGTACTTTAGGAAAAACAACAAAAATAATTCTCTACTTCCCTATATTATATTTTTAGAGATTTTGAACAATGAGTTAATCTCGGTGTATATTACACAGGAAAGTATAGACTGCTGTAGAACTTTATACTAGTTGGTGGCATGGGAGTAGGTATTCTGATGTTATTGAACTTTTTTTCCTTCTGTTCTTTTACTTTATGAGTACATTAAAATTATTAGGACTGGGATACTAGGCTCAAAGTATATAAAATCAAAGTTGTATGTAAAATTTTAAACCTGGTGAATCTTAGTATTCTCCAACTTATAAATACCCCAATTATCTACAATATCTATTGTATTTGTTTATTAAAATAAATGCTTATTAGTAGCCTTTTGTGTAACTGAATTTAGCATAGAAATATCCTACAGAGTTAATAGCCAGCATGCCTGCAATAAGGCCAGCTGTTTCCTGAACTGCCATATTTCTTTTTGGCAGCATGTTTTTAAACAGCCATTGTTCATGGAGTACGTATTGGTAGTGGTGGGGAGGGGGGTGGGGAGTGGAGGTGGTTGGCATTGCTCTCTGTTTACAGATAATAGTAGCCCATATTTTGATGCAAAATTTGTGTTTACTTGGGAGTTAAACTTAGAGCATAAAGGGTCTGCTTGTTTTTGGAGGGGCAGAAGGGAGAGGAGGATGAGTGGTACAGGAGGAAGGAGGACTCTTGTAGGATGATGATGAAATTTGGAAGCAAGGCTTGTATAAGGATTTATTCTTTTCTCCTTACCATGTGTGGGCATAGTTCTGGGCTCTGGAGAAAGAATGAGGACACTTGGTCACTGCACCCATGCAGCTTATAAAGTCATGGCTGTTCCACCTTAGGAATCCAAAGGGTCCTTTGAAGGCATGATCTGTGGTTCTGTGATCTGTCAGAATTAGGCCTAGCTGGTGCCTAGGAAAGTCAGAAAAGTCCTTCTTCACTATTCTTCTCTTTACTTCTTTTACCTGCAGTACGGTCTTGAGTTGTAAGAAGAATATACAAGCCCTGTTTTTAGAATATTTCAGCTGTCACCATGTGGAGTTGATGTGAATATTGTCAGAGAGTATTTGTATAGGTAGACTAAAGAGAAGGGCTTCAAAGACTAAAAATTCATGGAACTGAGAATGTGTTTTAGGGTCAGTGAGTCATGCTGATTTGCTGAAACTGGGGATGTGTGAGAGGGGACATTTAACTCAGCTCATATAAGCTGGGGTAAAAGGTCTGTCCCTGGGAGTGCTAGGCCCACATGCTAGCATGTGTTTTGAACATGTTACAATATATTTATATTAGTTTTATTATTTGTCACAGTTAATGTGTAGTCTTTAATCTTTGTTATTGTCTAAAGTATATTTTGTTTGTTTGTTTGGCCTAGCCTGGAAGCCTAGTTACCATTTTTGATGTTTCTTTGAGAAAAGACATTCTAAATTCCAGGCAGCTAATTAAAGATAAATATGTGGGACATCACCAGCTCCTAACATGAGATCTCCCTTAGCTAGTGTTTTCAGTGAGGTCCTAGAGTTATCCTTCTCTCTCATAACCTCCCTGAAGCCTCTAAAAGGTCCACACCATTTAAGGATTTTTTTTGTTTTTGTTCTTGTTTTGGTGGTAGACTCTTAGACTTTAATGTCTGCTACTCTTGTCCATTCCCCAACAGCCTCATAGCAGAACATCCAATCACAGATGAAGTTACAGGAGGGTAAAACAATGCAAATTCTAAAACTGGTGTCGGGATAGTTTTATACAGTTAGATTTTTTGGCTTAGGTAGATGAGGTTTTACGAATTACATAGGTAATTATG